GACCCGTAATAAGATTTTATAAGCATTACCTCATTTAAAGTTCATAAATCATGTTATAATCCCTATTTTACAGATGAGGGATCATTAATAACATGATTAAATCACATATATGCCAGTAATGAGACTAAGATGAGAACTCAGGCTAACAGACTGAGGACCCATGTTTTTTTGTGAGGAGATTATGAGTATGTGAGTGGCCTATGGACTAAGACTCTCCTGGCAGCCTAAAGAAACACACAGAAATCCAGGTCATGTCTTCAAGCAGCAGAGCAGAGTTTGTGAGAAAATGAAGGTGGATTTAAAGTTTATCCATAGGCCTATAAAGAACTTGAGAGATGGAAGCTTTTATTCTTTCACTTTCAGGGAAGGTCTAAATTCTTATCATCTTATTCAGTAAATCATCTTCACTTAGACATTGTGTTTTAATATTTAGGTGTCTAAGATATGTTCAAATCAGTATATTCCAAAACGAGAAAAATAATCACTTGTTATCCTCTGTTTTGTAGTCCATTTGGGCTTCTATACAAAATGCAAAATACAAAATAGACTGGATGGCTTATAAACCATATAGAAAATAATTTCTTCTGTTGGTGGGAATATGAATTAGTTCAACCGTTGTGGAAGGCAGTGTGGTGATCCCTCAGTTACCTAGAGACAGAAATAGCATTTGACCCAGCCATTCCATTACTGGGTATATACCCAAAGGAATATAAATCATTCTGTTATAAAGACACATGCATGCATAGGTTAATTGCAGCACTATTCACAATACCAAAGACATGGAATCAACTGAAATGCCCATCAACAATAGACTGGATAAGGAAAATGTGGCACACATATACCACGGAATACTATGCAGCCATAAAAATGAATGAGATCATGTCCTTTGCAGAGACATGAATGGAGCTGGAGGCCATTATCCTTAGCAAACTAATTCAGGAACATAAATCCAAATACCACATGTTCTCACTTATAACAGGGAACTAAATGATGAGACATATGGACACATAAAGGGGAACACTGGGGCTGGCTAGAGGGCAGAAGAAGGGAAGAGGGAGAGGATCAGAAAAAATAACCAATGGATACTAGGCTTAAGACCTGGGTGATGAAATAATCTGTACAATAAACCCCCATGACACACGTTTACCTACGTAACAAACCTGCACATCCTGCACATGTAACTCTGAGCTTAAAATAAAGATAAAACAAAGAAATGAATTAATCGAAATTCTGAAGGTTGGGAAGTCCAAGATTAGCATGCCAGTGTGATCGGATTCTGGTAAGGGCCCGCTTCTGGGTTGCAGACAATCAACTTCTCACTGTGTCCTCACAATGGAGGAAGGGGGCTTGCTAGATCCCTGGGGTCTTTTTTATAAGGGAACTGATTTCATTTGTGAGGGCTTCACATCCTAATCACCTCCTGAAAGGCCCACCTTCTAACATGATCACCTTGGGAGTTAGGATTCAACATGTGTATTTTGGGAAGCACACAAACATTCAAATAATAGAATGTTGTGTCTCAGTTTGGAGTTCAGAAAATTGAGTACATGTGTAGGCATTCAAGGATGTCACCATGATACAAATGATATGAGAGCCCTTCACACTGTGTCACAGTGTCAGCACACACATGTAGGTGAAGTGTGCCACACCTATCATCTCATGTGATCTTCACAGCAATCTTGTTAGCCAGGGACTATTACTATCCCCATTTTATGCATGGATAAGATAAGCCCTTTATGTGGTTGGTATATACATGGACTTCACAATGACTCAGATGTGAGTATTCATTCTGGTTCCGCTGTTTTAACAGTTGTGTTACCTAAAATGTCCTAGTCTCTAAGAGTTTTATTTTTCTGTTATTCATTATATAAGAAACCAAGAAAAGAAGGGTGGGAGAAGGAAAAGGAATCTAGCACTCTGCTTGGTACAAATTTGGTGTTTCATGCATGCTTGTTGACCAAAATGTTGAGTCAGAATTTTTGTGCTGTTTAGTCATTCTTGGGAGCTGTTATCATAAAGTCTACTAGGCAATAAAATGTGTGAAATTTCTATAGAAGCAGTAGGAGTTTTCCAAAATAGTTGAGGTAGACTTTAAAGTGAATTTTAAACCAAGTCATTTATTTCCCATCAAGTTCCTTCTATTGTGTAATCTGGTAATATTATGACATTCCTACCTCTGATCTCACTAAAGGGCTGTATTTATAGACTATTTTATAAATTCCTGTGACTCACCCCATAAAGTCTGTCATGAGCTGGAACTTTAAAAAATGAGAAAAATATCTCTGCCTTTGTTAGAGTTATAGGAGTTAAATAACACACTTCTTTTTTTTAAAGTTTTCTGCCATTTATAAATTGCTAAGGAAGGGGCATTCTTTGCTACCTTCTAAATAGGGAAGTTTATTAATACATCATTTCATGAGAGATGAAGATGATGACGATGATGATGAGCCTATTTTTAGTACATACTAAGTGCCAGAGATTGATTTAAGCTTTGTTTTTAGTCTTCACAACTGTTTCTGGGATATAAATAATTCTTATTTCACCAGGAAATAAATTGAGGCTCAGTGAATTTACTAATTATCCCAGAAACAGCAATACATAAGTAATAGAGATATAATTTGCTCCAAATCTGAGTTCTGCATGACACATATCTGAATAAGGGATTAACAAACAGCAACATTTTTTTTTTTTATGCCAACTTCCAAATACCCCGTTGTTGCTCCCATTGCTTCCTTGGGGCTAGAAGTTCTAGGCAATTACTGGACAGCAACCAAATAGCCATGGAATGTGTTTCTGATTTGGGATTCATGAGTATCAGTGATTAGACTGATTCTTGTTTACTGTGGCCTCTGGGAAATTGGTTGACGCATGGATGTGTGAAATATCGGCAGTGAGATAATAAAATTACTAGAACCAGAAATGCCTGCAAAGTTTATTTATGAATATAATGCAGAAAGTGATAATTAATCCTCTGGACATTTTTTAGCTCTTTTAAGAGTCAGAGTGTACATGATATCTGAAGCAAAACACATGTCTGTTTAGTTATTTTACAGTTAAACTTGGAATATCATTGGTTGAATCAACCATCATTATTCCCCAGGAAAATGGCTTTTGGTCTTCTTTCCATAATACAACACATTTAAACACTTTGCAGTAAACACATCCTCATGTTCAGGATTTTGTTGAAAGCACTGTTAATTCACCTGTCTCTCAGTTCTTAAATTCTCTCTGAATTTCTCCAGTATCCTGGGGATTGGGGATGGGAGTGATTTGTAGATGCCTAGTGTATAGGTACAAGTCAGTGTCTTAGTTTTTATTTGTAGTTAAGTCATTACTAAATGGGCAGTTATTATGTCATTTTATAATAATTTTTTTCAAATGATTTCTCAATACACAATTGTCAATAAAATTAAATCATTTTAACTATTATTCCAAATCTTTTAATTATGCTTTTCTTTGGTGGGCAGGATTTAACAAGAAGGTCTTTTTACAATGGCCTTTGAATCTAGTATAAATGATATGCATACCTTCTCTAGTGAAAAAGAAATAGCTAAAAGGAGAAGGAAAAATCCATTCATATATCTATCTATACCTATCCAACTATCTAACTAGTAACTTGCTGTATAGGTTATTTATCTAGCCATCTTTATAGGTAGGTATAGATATAAATTGGTAGATGCATATTCATATACATACATATAAAATGTTTTCAATGAACTCTACTAAAATGTTAACTGCAAAATTATAGTTGGAGGATTATGGAAAATTTACTTTTTTATTTTCTTATAATGGCATAGTCTTGTTTTTTGTCATATAATAAGTATCTATAAAGAACATGTATAAGAAATATGCTCAGTGTTAACTGGCATGGACCATGCTTTAAATTTGAGTTTAATGAGTATCAATGAATAGAGAGATTTCATGTGCACTTCCTAAGCCATTCACTCAATCATGAAGGCCTTCTTCAGTCTTTCTTCCTGAAATGCAATTGCATACATCTTTCTTTGGGCCTCCATCCTATCCTGTTTTAGTGCATCACTGCTTATTTATGGGCCAATCTTTCTAAGTCTGCCTTGTAGTCTTTAAAACGTAAAGATTATTGGGTCCAGCATTCCATAGCCAGGAAACTAATCTTGGTGTATAAAAAAGGTATTAATAAATGTCATGAGAAAATAATTTCTTTTCTTTGTCTTGATACTACCCTGATACTTAGTGGTCCTGAGAAGCAGTTTGCTCTAGACACCACACATCTCACGTATTTTCTTATCTGAACGAGTTTGCTTGATAAAAGAACTACTAATATGTCCGTTTGAAATTCTTAATTTAGTAGACTGTAGTGTTTAAATATGTTAAAATATAGATTCTAACTTTTAAAAAACATTAACTATAGAATAAACAACTATTTAAAAACAACCATGGAATCAACAACTATCCAATTTCTATGGACTGAGATTAATAGAAAACCTAAATACACACTTAAAATGAAAACAAAACAAAACAAAACAAAACAAACAACCACCGCCACCAACAAAATGAAATCCCATAAATTCAGTACAGTCAAATGAAAGTTTAACAAAATACATATTTTATTTGAATGGACATACATAACATGTTGCCTAGTGCCATCCTGCTTTGGGCTTGAATTCATTGTTTTATATGATATTTCATGGCAACTGCTAATTATCATAAGCTGTCCAATAAATGTGATGGATTGTCCAATTAACTCTTCATCAGCATCCATTTTTGAAGATGCTATCTATTGAAACTGATGGCAGTTTATGACCTACATGTTGCATATGTAGCTAATTGCTCCTTGGACAATAATTATTAAGTTTCTTGTGCCTCATTCAGTCATTTTGTTTTATACATTATGATGCCACTGAGTTTCCCAATTCATTTGACTTCACAACTATGGCTCTCCAAGGATTACTAAAGGTCTGCTGTGGAATGTATGGATCATATAAACATTGAAGTAGATTACAGATGTGTCTGTTTTGTAGGTTTTCCATCGACCGGCACACTGACCTGGAGAGGCAGTTCAACATTAACGCAGACGATGGGAAGATAACGCTGGCAACACCACTTGACAGAGAATTAAGTGTATGGCACAACATAACAATCATTGCTACTGAGATTAGTAAGTGCCTGGGTTTGTTCATTTCTTCCTTGTGTGACTGAGTTCAATTTATGCCTATTAATAACGTGATAAGCAGCCCCTGTTTCTGTTAGATACCTTGCCATTGGAACTTAGTTTATTGTTCCCAAGGAGCCTTTGAATGTATCATCTCAACACAAAATAACTTACACCGTGGTGAATTACTGAAATGTTTCAGGATATGTGAGAAGGAAACATTCTTATATCCGTTATTCAGCCATTAAAAACAATGTTTTGCATTTTAAAGTAAAAGGAAAAGATTTAGTATAAAACAGTGGATAGCTGGGCACGGTGGCTCATGCCTGTAATCCCAGCACTTTGGGAGGCCGAGGCAGGTGGATCATGAGGTCAGGAGTTCGAGACCTTCCTGGTTAACACGGTGAAACCCCTTCTCTACTAAAAATACAGAAAAATTAAGTCAGCGTGGTGGCGGGTGCCTGTAGTCCCAGCTACTCGGGAGGTTTAGGCAGGAGAATGGCATGAACCAGGGAGGCGGAGCTTGAAGTGAGCCGAGATTGCACCACTGCACTCCAGCCTAGGCGACAGAGCAAGACTCTGTCTCAGAAAAATAAAAAAAAAAAGTATGTAAAAAAAGTCAAGAACTGTACATTATAATTTAAATAAATGGACACACATATACATATAGTATAGTACATACAGTATAGAAACAATTACATATTTAAATCATACATATGCACACATACATGTGGAAAATATAGACGGAAGCTTTATCAATATTATTTTGGGTAGGAGAGATTATAGATAATATTTTGTTTTGTTTTTTACAATCTAATGTATTTTACACAGTAATCATGGAATGTTTAAAATTATACCAATATAAATCCAATGTAATCTTTTTCATAAATTTTGTGAAAACATTTGAGTTATTTTATTATAGGGGAGGAGAGTCTAGGGTTGTTAAAATAACATGTTAATCTTTTTATTTTATTTTTTTTTCTTCTTTGCACTTGATAAAACTATGATGGAGTCTCTAAACAATAGCTATATGGTGAAATTTGGTGCCACACTGTCTTTGAGAGCTTAGATCTACTTTATCAACTTTCGTCACACAAAAATATGAAAAAGGGACGTGATGTTCATTTTACTTCCTAGCAAAATACATGTTTCTTATCATCCGAATATCTTCTTTTTATAAAGGACTGGATGAGTCCTTCGAAGTTGTACACAAATTCAGAGACAATAAATTCCAAGAGAGTTGGGGTAAAGGGAATTTGAAAAAGAAAATAAAAATCAATGTTAAGAAAGATTCATGGGCACACATACCGTATAGAGAAATATAGATGATAATTATAGGAAATGTGCCCTAAAATCCACTCTACTCTCTGGCAGCTAATGTGAAAAAGGGGAAATATCTCTGTGAAAAATGATTAATTTATTTGTATTAAAAAAAGAGTAATCCGTGTGTTCAGGAGACAAACTTTTTTTTTTTTTTCTGGTTTTGTGATGTGAGGAAAATGTCCTCTACCAAGGCTTATAAAAAGAACTCTTGTATGAAACAGTGAAAATTCAAGAGCGAAGAATATTTGTTTCTTATAGCAGCCTTGAGTGCAGGGAGAGAACACGAAGTCAAGTTGATATGTAGTTTCCACGCTACCAAACTCTGGCTCTGGATAGAGACAGAGCTTTGGAAACTTTGGTGTTTTTCCTGCCTTAGGAGTAGTATTTTCTTCCCTAGTGTCTTAACCTGATGGTAGTTTCCCCTTGTAGCATGAAGAGAAGAAGCAAATAAAGCATGCCATCTGGTGATTCTGGTTTATTAGAAGTGTCAACCTCATTTAGAAAGATGTAGACATAATTTTTTAATAATTTACCATGTTGAAGCCTGATTATCACCTTAAGCTTCTCAGAAAAGCTGTATCTATTTATATGATTTAAGGCTTTATAAAAAGCTCAAAAAAAACCCAGTCTTCTTTAATGTGTATAGTCAATAACTACTTTTAAAGAATTTTCTCATATACTGAAAACACAATCTAGTAGAGTTAAACTTAATTGATGTTACTTTTGAGATAGATCTCTCTTTCTGTTGCCCAGGCACCATCATAGCTCACTCACTCCACCCTCTATCTCCTGGGCTCAAGTGATCCTCCTGCTTTAAACTTCCCAGTGTCTGGGCCTACAGGCACAAGCCACCATGCCTGGCTAATTATTGTTTCTTTTTTTTTTTTTTTTGGAGAAACAGGGTCTCACTACGTTGCCCAGGCTAGTCTCAAGCACCTCACCTCAACTGATCCTCCTGCTGGGATTATAAACATGATCCACACACAAGGCCTATGCCACCTTTTAAAAATGAGATAGATTCCTTTACTTAAATATCCATCAAGGTTTATCAGTTATCAGCAAAATGTGCTCAAAGCAATGAATACACAGAGCATTTGCTTAAGAAACATTTCAGGACAATCCAGAAACAAAGTACTCATTTTTGAGAAATCCTAGACAAGAAAGACAGATAGCAAAACAGCTGCTCCAGGGCATTGAACTGTTAGCTGCAGGGTGACAAGGCTACAAAGCTAAGTCGGGGAAGATGTTCATTGGCTCGTTCATTCAATCATTATTTATTAAGTCTTTACTATCACTAAGCACTCATCTAGTGACTGAGGATATAGCAGGGAGTAAAGTAGGCATAAATCCTGCTCCTCTTGGAGTTTTCTTTCTGGTAGCACCTGGGACTACCTGCATATCAAAGGGTAAATTGGAACCTGCTGATATATGCATAAAGAAAGGCACAGAGGTAAGAAAGAAGATGATGAATGTTGAAAGTTCAAGCAATTCCACATTGGTGCTGTGAAAATAAATGCAGCTACTGACCTCCTTCAATGAGGATATGATATTAAAAATTACTTCAAAATACCTATGAAAAAATCAAGACTTTATGTATATTAGTAAAATTACTAGTTAAGATTTTTAAGTGGTATTAATATTATTATTATAAACACAGTATAACCAAATAACTGAAAATATAAAACGTAGATGAGATAAAATTTTCTGAATGTTTTTAGAGAAGTGATTCAATCATGTCTCAGATTCAGGTTTACAGTTGGCTCCATATGGAGAACAAACACAGTGTACCTGTGCTCATATGCTGAGCCTCAGGCTTGTTCAGGAACCACAGAGAATTTAAAATATGTGCCCAAACATACATTGATTCTGTTCAAATCAGTGTTGATGGGAGTTGTCTCACTTTTTCTTTTTTCTTTTTGTCAGAGATTGAAAACTAAAACCACACAGGTGCATTTTGGCCAAGAAACAAGCTTAATTCATGTTAAACATCTTAAGAAATGTTAGACTCTAAGCTTAAAAATCTGTCTGACTTTGTTTGAATTTTTGCAGATTTCTTTCTTAGAACAAACAAGGGTGAGAATACAAAAGAGAGCTTTAAATTTTAGCTGTGAACTACTAGCTGGGGTGGCATAAATTTGAAAACTTTAAGCGTACAATTAAACCACCTTTGTTCTTGATCACAAAGGGAAGTAGAAATCATAAGATCACAGAGAAATTTGAAAAATGGAAATTACTATGAACATAGCTTAGAAACTTGTTGTGACTTGGTTTGATTATTTAGCCCATCATATGATGTTTATCTTCCAAAGCCACACACCATGTCTTGGGGGAAAAAAAAATATTAAAGGGAGATTTATAGAATTCATCTGAGAGGAATATTTAAAACCATTCAGAATAACAGAACCCCATAGGGGGAGGTTCTAATAATGATAAAGAAATCGTCATTCCAGGGAGAACAATTTAAAATGACTCTCAGAATGCTATCTCATCAGACAAAAGATTTAAACAAATGAAATTAGGCTAAAAAGTGGATTTTAGCGAAGTCCATCTGTTATCTCTTAATGAGAATGGAGATGTCATTCTTTATCCTCTTGTGTCAGATTCACTTAACTGAGGCTGAGATGCTTCACTGTGTTTATTACCCAAGTATTTCAGTGGTAGTAGATCTAACTTGTCATCATGATCAACTGGCACATCTTATCACTTGAGCTGGCAGGTGGATGTCCATGTGCTAACAAGAGATTAGGCTTGTATAGTATATCTCTGCTAACTGTCTCTGCTAGTAGTAAGCCCATTCCCTGAAACTACAGTGCATGGCTGCTGTTTACCATGATAATGAAGATTTAAGGTAAATGTAGCTGAATAATGAAAACAATGAGAAAATAAACTGAAAAAGCCCTTAAATGCGTTTAATTCTCAAAATGTTTGCTGAAAAGTGACTACTATTATTATAAGCATTTACCAGGCAAAGAAACTCAGATACATGTTTCAAAATTTCATAAATTTCAAAATTTCATAGTGGGCAAGGATGGGAGTGGAGGTACAGGATCAGACCTTTGTTTAACTGCAGAATATATATTCTTAAACACCGTCCACAGAAACCTCACTTCTATCTTCTTTCCTCTTTATCTTCTTGCTCAATTTTAGCTTCCGATACTGCTACATCATTTCCTGAATCAAGTGAATGAAACCATTTTTCTGTGCAAAGCAAAAGGCTAGGGCAAGGACAAGGGTGCGGTGAAGGAATGAACAAGCACGCAGTTTATTACGGAGAGTAAGAATATTGCCTAATAAACAGCAGAGCTCTGGAACGTCTAAAACCAGAATCCAAGTCCTATTTTATAGATTAGGAAACTGAAGAACATAGAATAGAGAACACAGCATAGTACATTTTAGGAGACTGTTTTTCAAAGCAGACCGTTGATTAGAATTGCCTAGAAAATTGTCTAAAACAAATAAAAAATAGTCCAGACTTCATTTGAAACCTATTAAATTAGAATCTCAAGGGAGAGTTTCAGGAATTTACTTCTCACAACTTCTTCCTTGTTTCCCTCACCATGCACATACACATACACACACACCCACACCGCCCCCCCCACACACAAATATACGATCATTAAAATTTGACAATACTGCAAAGAGAGGCAAAGAAAGATGAGGCATTATTGGTTTGTTTGGTCTTT